AATGATACTTGTTGAAACACAAGGCTTCTCATAGTATAGAAGAATGTGAAGTAACATGCAGCCCTACCACTCTTGTCCCTGGAGACAGCAAGCTTGCAGCTTCTGGTGTGCCCTTCCAGAGGCTTCTCAGGCATGTACAGACACACATTTAAGAAGCCAGATGTGTTTGTGGCTACGGTAGTCCCCGCTTATCTGCACTTTCTTTTTCTATGGTTTTGGTTTCAATTACTTGCTGTCAACTGCAGTCTGAAAATATTAAGTGCAAAATTCCAGAAATAAACAATTGGTAAATTTTAAACTGTGTGCCATTCTGAGTAGCATGATGAATTACTGGGCCATGGGCTGCCCCACCTGGGCGTGACTCATGCCTTTGTTCACCAGGTCCACACTGTATACGCTACCCGCCCTCTTGTTACTTGGTAGCCATCTTGGTTGTCAGAGCGGCCACTGCAGTTCCGCAGGGCTGTGTTCCAGGGACCCTTATGTTAGCTAATACTGGTCTCAAAATTCAGGAGTAGCGATGCTGACAGTTTTATTGTGTGGCACCTTATTATACACGGTATGTCTTATTATTAGTTGCTAGTCTTTCTGGGCCTAATTTATATAATCAACTTTGCTGTATGGCTATGCTGTGTAGGGATAAAAGCAGAGCAGGTACAGGGTTTGATACCGTCCATGGGCTCAGGCATCCACTGGGGTTCTGGACTGTGTCCCACAGACAAGGACGGGTACTGTATATTTTAACTTATTTGGGCTTACAACTGTGCACAGCACTTTCAACTTGGCTTTGTCACTTGATAATATTGGAATTTAAAATATTTGTTAAAAATAAAGAATCATTTTATGGGAAACACATTTGAATGCTTGTTCTCTGGCATGTAAGGAAAGGAGAACCCCTGATAGCAGAAGTTCATGAACATGGGGCACATGATCCCATTAACTATGAAAGTGAAGGTTTTAATTATACATCCATGTGCTTTAATCAGAAGGCTCAGCTCTTCTGAAGCGAAGCCTTTCTACCTAAATTTCCTGGTTGCCACTGCACACGACCATCCCGAGAGCGTTTCTGCAGACACAGCCAGGTAGGTGGTGAAGAGTGGAGGCCCATGACCCCATCACGGCACTGCCCCTGCTGCTTGGGAAACTGATGTGGCACTGTCTTCCTAGGGCCGGGCTGGGGCTGCAGTCCTCGTGCGAGAGGGCACATGTGCAGAGCAGGTGGCTACTTAGGGAGAAAAGTCCTAAACGCCCCAGAAACGGCACCATCCTTGTCCTCCATCACAGAGGAGGAAGCTAACCCCAGAGAAGCTGAGGGACTTGCCCGAGGTTGCACGGCGCTTTGTGGGAAGCAAGGATCCAGTTTGCCTTCTGAATCATTCTGCAGAAGTGCCCCGGGGGGAGCCAGGTGGCTTGGCTTCTCAGCTCCAGGGGGAGCGGGAGGAGAGGGCAGGAAGCAGTCAGGGGGGTGGCACTGTCACTGTCAACAGTTAGCAACAGGCCGTGAGGAGTGTGGGCAATGGGAAGGGAGTAAATGAGTGGGACGTGCACCGAGTCCTTGAGACCCCAGCAGAGTAGAAACGCCAGCTTGGCTGTGGGTGACCATGGAGCGGGGCGGTGCACAGGGCCACCGGTGGGCATCGGGCACTGCCCGTCTTCTGACTGTGTGGCACGACGTGGGGCGAATGTGGTGAGTGGAGAGGCCCTGCTGGACGGTCCCCTGGGGCCTGGGTGTGGCACTGTCATTGTGCTCAGGGTGGACGTGAGGTCCAGCAGAACCAGTACCCCAGCAGGGTGGGCTCTGACACAGAGGGCACACTAGCTGGTGCCCAGGGACTGGGACACCAGGCAGAAGCCAAGGGCTGTAGAAGGGAGTCCCCAGAGACAGGAAGCCTGCAGCTCAGTGTCTGAAGAGCCAGCTGGGGCACAGGGACTCTTGGGTCAACGATGGAGCCATAGGAGGCAGAGCACAGACCACGCTGTCCGGGTGTCGCCGCTGTGCTAAGGTCATCGTGCCTCGAGTTCCTCCTGTGCTGGGGGTGAGGCCGATGTCCACAACCCACGGGCTCCAGACACAGAGCAGAGATGAGCAACGGCCTGGCAGAGAGGGACGCCAGCAAGGCCACGGGACGGTCTGCGCGCTCACTGCCCCAGGAGCCCCTCCCCAGTTCACAGCACCTCTCTTCTGGTCTTTTTGTGGGGCTGGGAGGACCCAGGGCCTCCCCCTGCCAGCCAGTGCTCAGCCTCTGAGCCACAGCCAGCCCTCGGGCACACCCAGCTTACTTAGAAAGAAGTTTGCTGTGTCACACCCGCAGTGGCCTCCAGGACCCGGTGCGCGCTGCCCCCCTCTTGTATCGCCTTCTCTCCTGCTGGAGCTGAAGACTCGGTGGTGGCGGCTCCGCCCACCCTGGTCCTAGGGTGACAGGCGGCCCCAGGTGGGCACTCAGCCTGGGTGGCCGAGGGCAGTAAGGTCTACGCCACCGGGTCTGCATGGCACCCCACGATGCTGGCGGGACAGGTGACGCGCCTCTGGACGCTTTTCTCAGGATTGTCCCCGCTGCTAGCTGACCCTGAGTGCCTGGATGCTGCTCCTTCTTGGCCTGGGTGCCCTGGTGGGCGGAGGAGTCCTCGCCCCCCTCTACGGTCAGATGCCACAGGGAGAGAAAAACAGGGGACATCTGACCCAGGCCTGAAGGGCTACTTCAAACGGGAAGGGTCAGGGTTCCCTGTGACTGGCCAATGCCGGCTTCTCCTACACCTGGACGGGAGCGGGAGCCGAGGACAGGGCTGGCGGGGGTGCTGGCCTGGTGCTGTGGGCTGCGGGGAGCTGCGGGCATTTTCTGAGCCACGACCACGACTGCTCCCTTCCCTGCAGCTCTTCTGATTCATCACGATCGACTGGTGATGGGTCCAGGGTCGAGTGTGATGGGCTTTGACAGATGAGGAGGAAGCTGAGGGAGGAGGGAGAGGGCCACGTGCGGGCTGCACCCCCTCCCCGCTGCCAGCGTCGCGGTCTCCTGACCGTCCCCACAGAACCTGCGCAGCTCCTGAGTCCTCACGTGAGGAGACCCCGTGCAGGGGACTCGGGATGTGCTCTGGTCTGCTATCAAGTACCCCGAGGAAGATACCGGAGAGACGCTCACAAAGGTCATCACTCGGAACCCGAGACACCACCAAAGGTTTGGGAAGGGTCCCCCCCGGGGGGGGGGGGCCCCCCCCCCCCCCCCGGGCAAAAGCATGCCGTGTCGCATCAAGGAAAACCTGCCCCATGCCCCTGATTAATGACAGTGGACTGTCCAGTACAGGTACGAAGGCCCGAATGGTGTGAACACACTGTGTGTACGCACGACCAGAGAGGTGAAGAAATGAGCCCTGTGTGTGTGATCTTTGAGAATTGCAATGCATTTTGCTGTCATATATAAATAAAAATAAATCAATTAATTTTTAAAAAACCAAAGAAAACCTGCCATGACCTCTAAATGTTACCAAGGAGACGACGGCTAGACCCCCACGTAAGGCAGCACAGAAGCTGACCAGCCTCCTAAGTCACGGGATGACCGACTCAGGTACAAGGGCTGGGGTCTGTCCCCACCAGAATGCACCGAGGCGCCCTGTGGACAGATGGGGTCTTCAGGAGGAGGTCGGGCCCCCACGCTCCTACCAGGGGAGCAGGTGGGCTGTCAGGAGCGGGTGGTTGTAGAGGACTGGTTTGGCCCTGTCCCTCTCACCACGTGGCACCCCCTCCCCCAGTTATGGCGCAGCAAGAAGGCCTCACTGGAGGCCGCCCCTCCAGCCTGGACTCCTAGCCTCCAGAATCTGAGCCCACAAACTTCTGTTGTTCATAATTCACCCAGCGGGAGGCGCTCTGTTACGACAGCGAGAAACACTAAGACGACAGGTTACCCCCAAACCCAGTGGTGGGAACAGCCAACGTTGACTGTGCCACAGCCTCTGAGGGACGGGCCAGGTGTGGCTCTGTGGGGAGCCTCTGCCTCCAGCCCCCACAGCCGCAACCAGAGCCCCGGCCAGGACAGGCCACCCCAGGCCTCCCCTTCCAGGTCCACACGTGTGGCCGTGGGTGGCACTCCACTCTTGGCTGCTGGAAGGATGCCCTGGGAGCCTCCCTCAGTCCCAGGCCTCTCCCCTGGGTCCTCTCAGGCAGGGACTCCTCTGAGCCGACAGGAGGGTGCGGGAGGTGAGCAGATGGCGGTGAGAGCCCAGCCTCTGCTGTACTCTCCTCAGTGAGTCATGCAGTGTAGACCACACCCGAGTCACTGGGCAGCTCAGAGCCTGCCCACCACAGGGGTCACATCACGATTTCTGAGCGGAGGTCAGCTTTCTCTACCCCTAACAGTTCCGTGCCCGTCCCGCTCAGCTGACCAGCGCAGGCGTCCGTGTCTGAGGATGTGCCCCCTACCCAAGAAACGGGGAGCCCAGCGGGGACCGCCAGCCGCCCTCCCTCCTCCTGAGACGAAACAGACCCTAGAGCTGTCACGAGGGTCACCGGCAGTGCCTCCCACCCTGTGGAAGTGCCTGAGGAAGACCCCTCGGAACCTGGCCCAGGAACTCGCTTTAGGTCACTGAGCACTCTGTGGAGGACCCTCTCAAGACCCTTGGGACACGGGGAGGCCGGGGCCTCGCCCCAGAACTGCTGACCCCCTCTCCGGGGCCTGGGTTTGAGAGCCCTGGGCCTCAGGCAAGCCGCAGCTGGGGGCCCAGGGGGAAGGCCGCACCAGCCGGGGTCCCGGGGCCTTCAGCCAGGCCCAGCTGAGAACGGGCGTGGGTCCCCCCGGGGTGGGCTGTGTCCCCCATCCTGTCCTACTTCTGTGGTCACAGAAGCACTATCTGGACTGTATTCCACCGCAAGCCGAGAGCACGACAGGACACCGTCACGGAGGAGGAGAGAACTGACACCCCCTGACCCTCCCCGGGTGTGTCTGAGTTAAAACGTGCCAGGGGCTCGGCCTCGGAGGGACGTGGGTGGGCGCACGGACTCAGCTCACCTGCACTCGATGAACCACTGCCGGATCTGATCCCGCAGGCTGTCCTTGATGTCCGGGCCCTCCGTCTGCTGCAGGTCGTTCTTGACGGTCACCAGGGCCTCCCTGTAGCCCTCCTCGTGCCTCAGCTGCACCGCGCTCCGCAGCAGGCTCACCTTCTCCGCCTGGATGATGGCGGCACTGACTTGGTGGAAGAGAGGAGGGGGATTCTGAGAACGGGAGAGAGCGGGGGAGACCGTAAGCCACAGCACGGAGAGGTCCTGGAGGGTCGCAGTGCCGAGGTCCCCGGTGGGGTCCTTCCACCTCGGAGACGCCCAGAATCCAAGACCAGGCCTGGCAGCAACCTTGGGAGGTGGCCCACCCCTGGGGGGACACCGGGGCTCACTCCACACGGCTGCCCAGACGCAGGGGCCGGCTGCCTAGGGACGCGCCCATCCAGTGCTGGCCCATGAATGTCCCCAGAGGCCCAGCGATAGACTCTGGGTCCCCAGGTGGCACCACCAAGTGGCAGTGGAGCCTCCAGGAGGTGGGCCCGGTGGCGCTCCCTGGGAGTGTGCCCTTGAAGGAGAGTGAGGGACCCAGCCCTTCCTTTCTCTCTTTTGCTCCTGGCCGTGAGGTGAGTGGTTTGGCTCTGCGGCCCAGCACACGACGTGCTGCCTCACCAGAGGCCCAAGGCAAGGGGCCCATCGGTCATGGACTGAAACATCCAGAACAGTGCGCCCAAATAAACCTTCTACCTTTTCAAGTGGATTTCCTCAGGTATTTTGTCACAGTAATGCTAACACCTTCAATGAGACGTCTACAGATTCCTTCACACTAGGGAAAGGAAAACTCGACCGAGCTTCCCGGTCAGTCGGAGGACAGGGAATGTAGAGGAAGGAGGCACTGGAAGCCAGAACCTGAGGAAGGAGCTGGAGTGCTCTGATTTCAAGAAAGAAGACACTGAACACGTCCACTCCGTCCCTACCAACCTCCAGGGAAGGAAACGACACAGCAGACCCAGGCATCCTGCGGCAGTGAGCGTTTTCAGTGGATGTTCTCCCTTGAAACCCACTAAACCCACCCATTGGCACGTCAACTGGCAGCAGAGCACCCAGAGGTGCTGAGCCCCGCAGACCCGCCTCTGCAGGGGGCTGGCAGGGGCAAACGCACAGTCACGTCCCCTCAGACTCCTGAAGAAGTGGGGCTGGTGGGAGGAGGTCAGCACGAGCCAGGGAGGGGCACAGGCTCATGCCGCCAGTCAGCTGCTGCCAGGGGCTTGCAGGGGATGCGGGCGAGGTCTTGGAGAAGGACGGCGCGTCTGGGGCTGGGGCACCTGGAATCAGAGTCCGGGGGCCGAGGGCCGGCTCTCCTTGGTGGACAGGACCGAGCTCTGGAGGTTCTGAGATTCGCCGGGAGGTCAGGCCGAGGCTGCCCAGGGCCAGCGGACACGTTCTCAGGGGTGTGCCAGCTGGTTGTTAAACGGCTAGTTTTGAATCCTGAATCATATAAGCTAACCCTCGAGCTGTATTCATGAACCGAGTTCTCAATACTCCACGCTCCTCGACCCCAGGTCCCGTCCCTGTGGGCCATGCTGTTGGGGTCCCTTGTCTCTGCTGCTGTCCTGTGGGATGGAAGGCCACCCACCAGGAGCCTCTTCCCATCCTGGGCCCGGGTCCCCTCCACAAGCCTCCCTCAGAGCCCGTCACCCTGCCCCTCTGTGGCACCCGCTCCCTGCTCTGCCCGTCACCTTGCCCCTCCGCGGTGGCCGCTGGCCTGGGACACTGAGTGGGACGCTCCGCAGAAGCCCCAGGACAGAACCCCAGGGCCTGGGCCCCGGAGCCCCCGCCGCGATCCCTACTGGGCTGGCTGTCTCTGCGGCCGGGCGGCACCCGCCAGCAGGCGGGCGGAGCCCAGGACGGCCACCTGGCAATGGCATCCAGAAACGTGGGGGAGAGCAGAACTAAAGTCCGTCCACTTCAGAGCTGTGGGCAAGAACATGGCAGCGAGCGAGAGCCCACAGAAGCCAGCCGCAAAGCTGTGGATTTAAGCCTGTCACTGTGAAAGGGACAGTTGGTCTTGATACTTGTCACGCGCAGAGACACATCCCAAATGGATTAAATGTTGGATGCAACAGCACGTCTGTGTGGACGGACAGACGGATGGACGCGACTGCCAGGACACAGCCCTGACGCTCTGGGGTGAGAGGCATTTCACACGAGGGGCCGTTAGAATCAGAGGACAGTCACGTCCACCCAAGGGGAGAGAGAAAGGGGCCACCCACGGAGCCTCACGAACACAGCGTGGGGAAGCCTCAGAACACGAGCACAGGCTCCAAGTTCAGTAAAACGAGGAGGCACGGCTTCTATGATGAAAAGTGAACGCAGGGAGAAGCACAGAATCATTTTAAAGAACAATGTTAAAAAAAACCATCTAAGTCCCCGAGGTGCTGGGCGGCGTGGCTGGTCGTGGCTGTGGGTGTCTGTGTGGAACTCAGGGAGGAAACTCCCCCATTTCATCATTTAGGTGAAACCGGACCCTGGATCTCCCAGGCCACGTCTCCCACCCCTGGTGGGATCCTAAGGTGTGAATCAGAAGTTCCTGACCCACAGGGACTCCCCTCCCCACAGTGGGTCGCCTTCCTGAGGGGCCCCTGCTCCGCCCCTGAAGACGCAGGCGGTGTTCCGAGGCCTCCACCGAGACGAAGTCACCTCCGCCCAGTCACGCTGCTCCTGTCATCCTCCGCAGGTCCCCTCCCAGGTGGGTACTCGCTGTGCTGAAATGGCCCCCCGCTCTCCTTCCTCACAGCAGGCGAGTCTGGTTCACGTCTTCTCAACAGCTTTGTCAGAGGTGATCGGCAAGCTCCCTCAACATCCACAGTCCAAACAGCAATCACTCGGCTCCCGCGGCATTTCCTATCAGCCACACTGAACAGCCATCGGGTTAATGTCAGCCCCACGTGTACCTTCACCTCTCTCCTTATTGATGTTCACATGAGGAGCCCACTGAACGGATGAGGAGACAGAGGTTCAAAGTGGACTCCACCTTCTTCATCATTCGGTGTCAAGGAAGGAGCCAGCAGGAAGTTCCTGGCTCCTGTGGCTCTGCCTGCTGCCACGCCATGCTGTGTGGTTAATGTGTGTGCATCTCTGTGTGTTTCTTGATGTCGACTTTCTCTGACAAGGAAATGCATTTGGTCATTTGGGGCTTCCTTCCCTAGTTGGTTTTTGAATCGAAAGGTTATAATGCATTTAGGTCCCATGTTAATGAGCACCTCTTCCTTTAGGCTACGACATCTTTTCCTCTTTAGCAACTTTGGTCATATGGAATTCAAATGTGTTAACTCGTGGTATAACAGCAACTCATTTAAAAATAAATTACGAATGTTAAAAGGGAGCCAGAGAACACAATGACATGTTCTATATTGAAACGCATCAGCTATAGAACGATGCATCTTAATGAAGGCTTCCCATGTGAATAAACCATTATATTTACAAGCTTTCCACTGTTAATGACCCAGAACGGGATAACGAAACCTACATTTATAGCAAGGTCCTCTGTCAGCAAAAACATACATATTAATAATTGATGTTGCTGCAAAAATAGGACACAACACAGCGCTTCCTGAGTCTGTGGGCAAATAGCACGACACGGTCCATTAACTTAACGTGCTTAGCTAATGTTTGATGGGCTTTGTCTTTAAAACTCCTTGTTCAAATTAGGAAGACAAAATGGACATTTGTCCAAATGAAATGCCGTTCCCTCTCTCGGTCCCCAGTGGACGTGCACTGAGGGCTGACGACGCTGGTGGCCTCCTCCAGGTGCTCCTGGGGCAGGGACACTGGAGACAAAGCTGGAGCAAGGAGGGGGACGCCATCCCTGGCCACCTACAGCCACCTCTCACCCCTCTGAGCAGAGACTGACTGGCTGTGCCTCGGTCCTCGCGGGCACAGAGACGCGAGCTCGGCCCCCCCGGGGCGGGTGCCGCACGCCTCGGCTCTGATGGCACACGGAGGACTTCGGGTGGTCCGTTTCGGGATGGTGCAGAGGAGGTGCCACAGTTGACGGAAACCAGGCACCTGGCCCCACGTTTCCTTCCGGGCAGCACATGGTACCGCGCATCTGTGCGGGTCACACAGACGGCCCCGGGGAGCACAGGGGGCTGCGGCAGCAGGAGCTGAGCGTCCCCAGGGTGGACCTTTGTTTTAGAATCCACAATTTTAGCAAATACAGAACTATCAGAGACCTAAAGTGTTTTTCCAGTTCATTAAGTCTAATTTTTAAAAAACAAAAACAAAACAAAAAAACACCCAGCATCTGAAAATTTTGCCTTTTTTAGGAACTTGAACCAAAGTAGTAGAGCTGGACTTATGATCAATCAGTGGTGGAGATGTAATCGGGTCCTACTTTCTTTCTTCTTTTCTTTTCTTTTTTGGTACCAGGAATTGAACCCAGAGGTGCTTGACCACTGAGCCGCCTCCTCAGCCTGTTTTAATTTTTCTTTTACGATAGGGTCTCAGTGAGTTGCTTGGGGCCTCACTGAGATGCTGAGGCTGTCTTCAAATTTGTAATCCTCCTACCTCAGCCTCCCTAGCCACTGGAATTACAGGTGTGTGCCACTGCCTCTGGCTAAAATTGTTTTTAATAGATACTTTGAGGGCACTTGTGATTTGCCAGGCATGATTTTAAGTCCTCACTGGTGTTATGTCATTTATTCCTCATGGCAACTTTATGTGGTAAGTAGCCTCATTACTTCATTTTATATATGAGGAAACAGGCACAGAGAAGTCTGGTGAGTTGCCCAAAGTCACACAGCCGGGAAGTAGCAGACTGGGGTTTGGTCTGAGCCATCTATCTCCAGTCTTTGTTCTTGTTCCCAACTGTTTTTATTGGTGTGTGGTGATCGTACATACAGTGGGACCCGCTGTGACATACCTGCACAAGCCCCAGCACCATGCTTGGCTGCCTCTTTGCGGGCAGGTTTCCTGAATTAAAATGCTGTCTGAAGATGGCGTTTGGCGGGCACTATAAATCATGCTTTCTTCAAAAATGAGCATTTGTGATTTTAATGGCTATTGCTAGGCTGCCTCTCCAGCCTTGCGCCCTTGGCTCTCCTGGTCAGGGTGACAGTGCCCGTGTTGGGTGCCTTGCCCTTTTCTAACTTAAACGGCACCTGGTCACCGTGTCTGAAGGGGCATGATGTGACAGGCTCACGATGCGATCACTTAGGAATCACGGCTAGTCCTTCTCCAGTGCTGGCCGTGCCGGCCTGGCTCTAACCGAGCCAGCAGCCACCGCGTCCCTGTTGGCACAGACGTGCAGAAGCCATGGTGCAGGGCTCACGGTGCGGCCGGCTCAGTGCTGGGGTCAGCACGCGCTCTGCCTCCCAGGGGACCCTGGCTCCAGGCCTCGGCCTCGGCCACTCTCCCAAGTGCACCAGGGACTGCGTGATGTGCCCTTGCAGGGGACCAATAACGGCAGGTGTCCTGTCCCAGAGTGAGGTGAAGGACTCCTGGGGCCAGGGGACCTGGGAGGGCAACGAGTTTGGCTATTTAGTGTCCATGACCTGGAGACCGGGGCAAAAATCAAGCATATCAATAATAACAATTATAAGAAGACATAATAAAAATCAAAATCAGACTTGAAATCACACTCAACGGTTCCCAGGGAACAAGGCTGTAAAATCCCATTTGATAGAAAAGAAAACGGTGATTTTCCTTTTCTCTCTGAGTCTCTGGAAGTGAGCTTCTGAGGTCGAGATTCTCCAGGGAGCCTCCTGGAGCTCCGGCCTCCTCGCCAGGATGCCTGTGGGGTTGCGAGGACAGCTGTTCCAGGAGGGACGCTGGTGGCATCTGACACTTCTTCCTGGGCGCCACCCGGAGGGAGCTGACTGTGGGGGGCTGCAGCTGTTGCCTCAGGCAGCCCCAGGAAGCTCCCCGGGGCTGGGTCAGGGAGCGGCAGGTGGGAGGCAGCCCTGGGGCTTTTCCAGAGCCAACGTCACAGTGATTTCCACGTCACAGATGTGGCGGTTCACAGGGGGCCACGGCCTTTGCACATGTATTTTATGCAAGAACTCATTTTAAAAGATTTGCAGTTTGTTAGACAGAAAATCTATCATACCTCTAGATGCCAATGACTATTCTGAAAGTCATTCCACATCATGACACCGTGACACAGTTTTCCATGACTCCTGTCTTTGAAGGTGCAGTCTGTCCTGGCTGCCACCTAGGCCTCAGCCACTGACCCTCATCGGGTCCTCCCCCACCTCTGCAGAAGGCAGCACGGCTCTGACCTCCCAGGAGAGGAGGCTGAGGTCGCAGCGCCAGTGGGCACGTTGCTCACGCCCCTCCACGGGGCAGTGCCCGCTGGCGCCCCCGGCCTGGCTCCCCTGCAGTGTCTGCGGCAGCACAAGCCCTTTGAGCTGGTCAAGAGACACCCCCACGGCGGGCACCTGCCTCCCCGGGAAGCTCGGGAACAGCTCTTCTGCACTCAAAAGCTAGAACCAAACAAGAGCAAAGCAAAACACAGGGTCACAGCACAAACTGCTTATTGGGAATCAATTAATCTTTTGGAAACAATGGAATGTCATTTGGAGCCAAATGTGACAGATAATCCGCAGGATCAGATGGACTGCGTGGTCCTGGCTGGGCTTCAGGGTGGTGGTGAAAGGGCTTCATCCACATCCTCTGCCCATTTTGGCTGTGCATGACAGCAGGTCCCAGAGAGGAGCCCAAGGACACTGTTGGGGAGGCAGCATGGGGCCACCGTGCCACAGGCCCTCGGAAGGAGCCACAATCACTGGGGGCCAGAGCTCGGATCGGGGGTTATTTGCGAACGAGAAAGGGGTCTGATTTATTGGCCAAGATGTCATGTAGGCTGTAGGCAGTCTCGGGTGGGTCTGAAGTGAGCAGGGTGGTGTGGCGCTTCCAGGAGCGTGCAGAAGCGACGGCCTCTTTAATGAGTGCCCCCCGTGCTCCTCATTAAAGTGCACACTTCGACGCGGTGCCTGCCGAGACGCACAGGGTGGAGTGCGGTGCGTTCTTCAAGATCCTTCGACTCGATGGGCTCCACTGGCTTTGCCAATTAAAATGACGGCACGGGAGAGTTCAGGGCGCTATTTGTTTTCCTGCATAGATTTTAGAATGTAAAACATTTAAATGGCTGTATAGAAAATATCCTTCATAAGACAATGACCAAGGAAACGTGGGGCGCGGTGGGGCCTTCTGGCGTCTTCTGCTCTAATCCTGGGCTCTGATGCCCAACAGCCGCTCCTGAGGACACTCCAGGGTCTCCCAGAGGTGGGGAGGCAGCTTTGACCTGGTGAGTCGATGGCTCCACCCTGGCACAGCGAGCAGCATGAGCGGACGGAGAAACCAAGGGTAAAGAGGGGAGGCCGTCTCCTAATCAGGGACCAGTGGGAATTACTCCACGGAAGCCGCCTTGGGTGGGGAATGGGTGCTTTATGGCCACCAGGCAGTGAACAGCAGGCAGCGTTCCCATAAAAGTGAATCCATAGTCTTCTCACGAGTAAGATTTCCATAGACCACGTGCTCTCAAGGGGGACGCAGGAAGAAGCCCGCTGAGGAACGTCTCGCGGAACACAAACTCGCCCTGCTCGTGCTCAGAAACGGGACGAGCAGTTTTCATCCCAGCGACGCACATGCAAGTGACAAAGGAAGACTGGAAAACCAAGCCACGTGTGATCCCACCCTCATGTGCTATCAGTGTCAGCTAGCGAGACCTGAGGGTGACACAGGCATGCCCGGCCACTACCCAGGTTTGCGGCACGAGGCGCGCACGGTGGCTGCTGGGTACACGTAGACCGAGTTCAAGGAGATGGAAATTTATTTAAACAGAAGTTGCCGAGTCACAGCGGCAGCTGAGGAATCTCCATGCTGCTTCCCAGAGTGGTGGCACCCATTTGCAGTGCAATCGGAGAAATGAAAGTTGTGCTCCATTTGTGTAAAAAAAAAAAAACAATCAAAAACTGCAGCTAATGTACGACTTCTTGTTCAACTGGAGAACTTTATACCAAATATTTTGACTGCAATTTGATTTTTAAAATAGAAAACTAGACATAACTACCACGCTTACCCTCACGTCCCATATCCATGCCCTCCCCCACCCCAAATCACGCTCACGCTGCCGTCTCCTTAAGCATCCACCCATCCACACGCACCAAGCAATCTGGAGATCTTGGGAATATGGATGTCACCTCACTGCCATCTGCTTTTACCCTAAGAAGTGTGTGTTTTCTGGTTCACAGGGTAAATGCTGACCAGTTTAGAAAACACCAACATCTTCTGAAGCCACCCTCTGAAACATGAGCCCTACTGACTCGGCAGGTGCCTCTCCTGTGCGCACAAGGGGCTCTGAGTGTCCCCTTAGCTGAAGTCATGCTAGAATTCTAAATCCCGAATTTCGACCTTGAGCATTTTTGCATCATCAAACACTAGTCAGAAATGTGTTTTGTAGTGTTGGCGCGGCACAGCACCGTCTTGTGTAAGGCCACCATGATTCATGATTCACCACACACCTGCTCTAGAACACTAGACTTGGCCATTTCCGTTTTTTTGGTTTTTTTTTTTTTTGGTATTAGAAAGAATATGGCAGAGAACTATTCTGCATCCAGATCTCTGTTTCTGATGATGTGTTAGGTTGGAAACAGACGTCAAGGTGGACATGTAAATATTTTAAGGCTCTAGCTGCACCGGCTCCCTGGCCTTCAGAAAGGCTGGGGCAATGTGACAAGCTCGTCACATTGCCAATGACCCTTATTGTCAAGCCTTCTTATTTTGCCTAATATGACAGATACAACTCTCCCTGTTTCACCAGTGTTAAGATGTAGATTTTTCACCACTTAATGGTTCTGAAATTAGGGACGGATGCATCTTACAATCAAGGGTGTGCTTTGGTTTATCTAGAAGCCCTTTTTTCTTAGTGGCCCCTAAAAATAACAATGCATCTTACAGTTGAAGACATCGTAGATTCAATGGACTACAGGAGCAGCTTGTTTGATTTTTAGTTTGCAAGTAGCTGAGATCCACATAGAATCATTTCAGTATAATTCAATGGCCCAGTGGACATTTAAAAATGTTTCAATTATGGGGAAAAATACCCACATGACTTAAAATCTCCTATCTCGACCTTGCTTTAGTGTGGGTAGGGGTTAAGTAGGGTAAACTAGTTCACGGGCGCTAGGACCTAACCTGCACACAGAGACTGGATATTTGATGTAATGTCCACTGCCCCAGGCCCTGGCAGCCACCACTCCACGCTGTGCCCATGGCTGTGTCCATCCGGATACCTCAGGGGACTGAAGAGTGGGGTATCTGCCTTTGTGTGACTGGCTTATTTTGCTGGACACAGTGTCCTTAAGGCTCACCACTCTGTGGCATGTGTGACGAACTTCCTTCCTTTCCATGGCTGAATAATATTCTACCCAGTGAATTTCTAAACCAGCAGCAGGTGCCAACCCACCAGATTCTGGTAGCAACCCCACAACCAAAAAGCAAGGAATGGGCTGGAGCCCGAGGGGGACCCCATCTCTAAACATAAACGCTGGCTTGTTTTTAAAACAGCAAGATCGAGGAAACTCGAGAACCTAGGTAATAAAATCAAGGCATCTGTTGGATCCTGCACTACTCTGGTGTGACTTCCTGTGTTTGTTGAGCAGGAAGCTCTTGATTTGAGACTCTGTGAACACAGGGACACTGCGTCCTTCACCCAGAGAGTGGGTGCTTCCACATTGCTGGAACATGGACCTGATTCCTTCCTCCAGCGGAATACCCCAGCACTGACCAGAGGCAGGCAGGAGGGGAGAGCCGCTGGGGGCAGGCAGGAGAAGGGCCTCGGGAGGTCAACGATGCTGCACTAATGGACTTGCTGGGCCAGCTGTCCCTTGAGTGATCTCTAGACGTCAGGGAAGGGATGCAGATGAGGAGGTGAGACTTAAACACAGGCAGGTGAAGACCACAGCCCCCACTGGCCAAAACTATCAATTTAGTCTCCCCTCTTCCTACCAGTGGAGTGGCCAGGCAGGGACAGCCAGGGAAGACTCAGCCTTCCTGAGTGTGCTGCCTAAGAAACCAGGTCCTGTCGACAAGCACACTCACCATGCCCAGGAATATCATCTCCTCTTCTCTCTCTCTCTCGGTCCTCTTGGACTGGCAGAAACCCCTCCAGACCTGAGAGGAAAAGCACGTCCGCCTGTTTAATACCTGGGCAGAGGAGACCTGCCACACACTTTCTCCTGCGTAACGGCACCTTCCAGAGGTCACATGATCAGAGACCCCAGGCGGCACACGGGTGTGTTGACGGACTCTTTCTGTATGTGATTGTAGGCAAAAATTTTTGAAAGGAAAAAAAAATCACATCACAGAAATGAGCTACTGCTCTCCTTTGTGAAGTTCCTCTACCTGGGGTTTTTCAAGAGAATCTTCTCGGTGGCAGGAGTGTGAGGCTAGATCTAAGGGTGGCACTTCAGAGTTTCAAAAGAAAAATTCCAAAGGAACACGGGGAGATACAGCCCAGAGGCGCCCCAGCTTCCAGCTCCGATGGGTACAAACCAGAAGCACTCAGCTGTCGGGGGGAGAGCCCTGGGCCACTCCTGGAAGGGGCGACACAGTCACTGTTCTGTCCTTAGAGATGGTTGCTAGTGCCAGGTGGCAAATTGTCTATGCATGAATATATTTTTAAAAATCCATTAAGGATTTATGTCCTCACCGAGTTTTAGCAACATTTTCCCAACAATTATGAGTGGTTTTTAAAAAAACATTTGAATAAAATACTCTGTGTTTAACACTTATTTAGAATTTAAAAAAATTACGTATGACTAAGTTTAGTTCACAGTTTCCCCAGGGTAATCATTAACAAATCTTCCTGGAATTTACTAATGGAATCCAGCTCTACCAAAGGTAGGACTTGGGGATTCTGACTTTCAGCACTCACCCCTTGAACTGGAAGGATCTCTACCTGCGTAGGATGCTCCCCCCAGCTCTGGGGGCCCCACGTTTGTTCGTACCTTCTGGATGCGGAGTGCGGCAGCCCCCATGTCCGCGACCTTCTCCCCGAGCAGCCTGGCCTGCTTTGCTCTGTATTCCTGAAGGTATATCTGCTTCATGAACAGGGCTCTCAGGCGGCCCTGCCGCGCCCGCTCAGCAATCTGGATTAATTTAATAGCCTCTTCGAAGGGCATGCTCTTTATGGCTAATTTCTAAAAATAATAACAACAACAAAAAACAGAATAAGTCAAGGTTTAAACAGGTCAGAACTCACCTGCTTCCTCCCAACACACCCTGCTAATAGCCCCATGGGGCAGCGTGCGGAGGCTCCCCGATGCTCTCTGTCTGCCAGCAGATTAGGTACACTGTCATACTCTGCCACGCCATGTCGTGATCCCAAATTCAAGGACCGCAGATTTCCTCTAGCCTTCCAAACAAAATAGTAACTCGAGCCACCATAGTTTAACTTGGCCGCGAGTGACACTAGAAATGGAAGTGATTCAGTAACACTTGAAACTAAACACAGCACTAATATGAGATATGAGTCTTAAAATACACGCGAGGTAAAATGCTGGGTCTAAACCGATCACAGACTGACCTAGTGAAGGAGGCCAGTGCCAAATCATTTCAGGAGCATTTAATTTTACATAAGAAACATCTTCCAGGACTCGTAAATTTGCATTTAAAACATCCAAATGTGGTGACAAGTGCCATTAAAACAAAAAGTCCAGGGCTCAGGTGGGGCATGTGGTGACAAAGTCAGGCAAGTGGCCAAGACATTTTAGAGGGAAAAGGGACAAAAGCAAGGGCTCTGGGGGTGCCCAAGGGCCCCCATGAGCTCTGAGAGGGCTCAGGGCTGAGGGCCACTGCTGTCCCAGGAGCAAGGGGGAAGCCGTGCAGGTGGCCTTGCGGGGGTGGGGTATCCGTGAAGGGATGAAGGCAGAGGAGAGGCAAAGTAGCTGCAGGCACAGGTGGAGTCCCCTCCAGGCCTCTGGGGCAGTGACACCGTGACATCAGGGCCTCAGGAGTGGCTGCTCCATTTGTCACCAGGAGTTACAGTCACTCTGTGTTACAGGGGGAGGAGGGGCACAGGAAGGAGTGAGGAGGACAGGGACCTCACGGATGCCAGATTCTTTTCCCGCGGAGCTCGTCAGAGTCACTGAATCAATGCCCAAGGCAGGTGCTTCTGGCCACTCAGCCATTAGGAAAGCTGAGGCTGAGATGGTGGAGCGACGTACACGGGTGGTAAGTGGGGAGCCTTCTGGAGCAGGGACCGACCCTCCTCCCACTAAGCCATCTGCTGCCCCCCCAAGGTGTCCCTCAGTGCAGCCCCAGGAATATGGCTGCCTACGGGGGAGCCCGTCCACACCCCAGGTCCTCAGGGTGGAGATCTCAGTGAGATTCTGCTGCTTGGCGTGTGCGGGGGGCACACATTTCCAGTAGTGAGCTTGGCGTGTTAGAGGAAAACGAGCATCACCGTGGTGGTCACGTTAGAGGACCCCTGGCCAATGTCGGTGGCCTGCACATTTCCCTCGGGCTCCCAGCTCTCACTCCAACACTTTCACAGCCAGTGCTGAAGAGCTGTGTTCGAGGGATGTTGCGAGGTCTACCCAACACGACTAAGAGTACTGAACACCCCGGAGGCCTCGGCAGCGGGGACTGACTTTTAAATGCAGAAGATGGATAACGATTTCATTTCTCCAAGTTCTCCTCTGGGTATACACCGCAGATATCTTGAAGAAACAGGCTGCTGACAGTGAGCTTGGGGGCTTGCAGGACAGCGAAGGGCATGCAAAGGTTGTGGGGGGCCTCGTGGGGTGCTGAGGCCAGGGTGAGGTGAGCACTGCCCAGTGGAGGTGAAAGGGATGGCCACAGAGGGCGGGAAAGAAACCTCCCTGATGTTGACCCGGCACAATCCAGAGGGACACTGGGCAGGACAGACAGCAAGGGCCTCGCTGTCATGTGTAGTGCAACGCGTCCATCTCCCTTCCCCACTTCCCTCACAAAACCTTGGGTCAGTTCTATACTACATATGGCTACTTGGGGCACAGGGTTCCTCTGGGGGAACTAGATGATGTCCCAGTGATTCATTCTGGCAGGTGCAAGGACAGAAAGTACAGACACAGGGCCCAGGGCTGGAAGGATGGCTGCAGGATCCCTATGCAAGTTGGCCTTGAAATGACTTCAAGGAATTCACAGTACAGAGGAGGGGTCAGCAGTTTGGGAGAGGAGCACAGAAAGCGAGATCATCTGTATCAAGTTGGGCTCCACTGAAGGGGTGTCATGGTGACAGGAATGAATGTCAGGGAAAGAGCAAGTCCTCTGCAGCTTGGAGCTGGGTTGGCTTCACCCATCTCCAGCCCCACCTTTGCCCCACCATCCCCAGAAGACACCTGGAATCTCCCTAAGCACCAGGTGCCAGCTGTTGCCGTTGTACCCTGGTCTTCCCCGGCCATCTCCATGTGTCCCTTGTACTGCCCCAGTTTGGATGGCCAATTGCTGTCTTGCTGCATGAGCCACGAGGATCAGCCAGGGGAACAGGGCGCTGAGTTCACAGTCAGCAAGTCAGTGACATGCATAAGTAGACATCCCAGGAGGTGGACAGGCAGAGCCATGTGCGAAGGACTGGCAGAGAAGGACTGTCCCTGCCCCTAAAGGAGGCTTCATGGAGGGGTAACTGCAGAAACCCAGAGAAGGTGGTGGGAGGTGACAGCAATTGGCCATCCAAACTGGGGCAGTACAAGTGACACATGGAGATGGCCGGGGAAGACCAGGGTACAACGGCAACAGCTGGCACCTGTGGTCTTCCTGCATATGGGCCCCATTGGGTGTTGCCACCTGGGTCATGGTGCCTAGGGAGATTCCAGGTGTCTTCTGGGGATGGTGGGCAAAGGTGGGGCTGGAGATGGGGGCAAGGGAGGTACGGGCTGAGAGCTGCCTGGACCCTGCTCTGGGCTCTCTGGGGAATCTTTAAGGATCTTCTTTCTCTTTCCCACATACGATTCATGTCAGGAGATGCAAGTGTCACTCAACTTGAAGTCATCAAAGGTCATGAGCATTTGAGAAAGCATCCGAGTTTTCAGGTTCCCGGTGAGTCATGTTGGCACTTGACCATTTTATATGAATGACTGCCCATTTTATATGAATGCTGACTTCAGCTGGGTGGACCTGAGAAGGCCTATTAAGACGAGCTGATAATCGACCCAGTCTTAGGGATCACAATTTAACCAACAAAGCATTTTATTTTGATCTCTATATTTAAGCCCTTGGAAAATAATGATTATGTGTCACCAAAAATACATCCCAAAGATACACAACTTCTTATATGCTGACATAACAATGGGAGGGGGTAACTCTCCTCAAATTGAAAACAATCTGCTTCTCACACAATAGGGAGCTAAAGAAAGAAACAGAAGTTATACAGATTATTAAGAAAATTGTTAGAATGATACAAACCATGCTAGTTGCGTCTAATCCACTGTCAGCTAATATCTGAGCAAGGATTTTCTTTCTTTCTCTTATTACTTCTATTTTCTCCTTCAAAAAGTACTTGGGTATGGGAATATCCAACTGTTGCTAGAAGAGGAAAAAATAAGCAAAAGAGCACTTTAGTCATGATACCAGGACTCAGAGCTCGTGGAAATGTACAGTGACGATGAGCAGGTGAAAGGGCATGGTGTACTGCCCAGCTCACGCAGGAGACGGAGAGGCCCTGGAGTGCAGAGAAGCATTACTCCCAAGGAGACCTCCACAGAAGGAATATCCTAACTACAACCTCAGGAATTCACACCAAATAGGCCTCAAAGAACTCATGATTACCTTATGAATTTCTTTAAAGAAATATAATATTCTCTCTGTCTCTAAAATAAGTATTCAAACCAGGTGGGTCATAGAGGTCTTTGAATTAAACCTAATAAATTATAATTAGCACCACTGACTATTGGTATGCAGAAGACCATAATCTTTTCTAATAATTTGGTTTTATTTTTATATAAATTACCTCATTCAAAAATTAGTTGTGAAATTAGAGGCTCTGGGTGACTGTACCATTCAGAAAACTTGTTTTTGACAAAATAAGTCTGAATGTCTATTCTTTACCTGTGTGAAGAATATTACCAAATATTTCAAACTAGTAGAGGTCAAATAAATACTTACGAGTCCAAGTTCAATGATGAGGAATACAGAAGTCTATTCAAGGATGTGGACTCTTGGCCCAGTGAGAAGATTGTCCCAGACACTGTCCGTCATGCCTGGCCAATTCCAGGTAGACCAGCTGACGGGGCAAGCCAAGGTTATGGTCTCTAGGATTAGTTTCCCTTTTTTTTCCAAATCAGGGTGTGACTCCCCTCACCCCAGAGAATTCTGGACAGGAATTCTCCTAAATAAGCTTTAAAGCATAAGGGGTATCATCTTTAGGACTGAGAAGAACAGATCCTTGGAATTCTGGAAGGTGGCAACAGCTTTTGAACCCCAGGCTTTTTACAGGCTAATGGAGTTTGGGAGGTGATCTGGGAGTGAGCTCCAGGGCCCAGGGGGTGAGTGTGCCCTATGGAGGGAGGGCAGTCAGAGAGGAATGATGGCACTTATATCTAATGTTGGGAAGTTATTAATTGAGAAACATGTACGATGCACTATTCCAAATTCTAAGGCAAAAATTTTATCGACATGACTCCATCTGGCCCATTTGGGACCACAAAATCATAGTGAGGGTTTGGCAGTTAGGGTTTCACAGAGCAGTGGCACATGGAAGCCAGGGCAGAGGTGTCCATCATGACCCCTTTGAGGTGCAGGTACCCAGCCTCAGCTCTCCATGGAGGGGATCCAGGACACTGCCAGTGCCGAGGTACAGAGGCCCTCTCTCCTCACACACCCCTCTGTGCTGGAGGACCTAGCAGAGAAGGTTCTAGAAACGGGCTTCTGGATAGTTTGGCCCAAAGGGGGCACTTCTGGACAGACTTGGGGACCCCATGGAGCCAAGGGCGGGCACGGGGGCAGGGGAAGGCTGTGCTGCTTCCTTCTGCTCTCTGCTGTCTCTGGTTTCCCCTCTTTGTCGCCAAGAGCATCTCCCTCCATTCCCCAGAGCACCGGGCTGACGGAGCTCTAACCCTTGGGTATCTGGGGGACCACAGTTCAGACCTCGAGGTGGAAGCTGGTTCAGAAACTCCGAGGGAGGGCCTGACTGGTACAGCCACCCAGAGCCTCTCAGTGGATTGGTCACCTGTGATCAGGGCAGAGGGTCCTACTGGACAAGCAGCTGGGTGCTGGCCGCAAAACACAGAGAGTGGTGGGCTATGTGAGTGACGGTCACAGAGGCCAAACTGCACAGGGTGCTGGGTGGCTGCACCTGAAATGCACACAGTCCCTGGAGCTGGCTCATGGTCTTCCTGGCTGTGCTGTGGCTGCTGGGTGAACCCCTGGCTGCCTGTCACCTCCCACGGCTCAGTCACTGTTGAGAGCCCCCCACCATGAAGGCTTCCTGCTGCGGTCTGCCCTGTGGGATGCTCCTGGTGTCCAGTGGCTTCTGTTGTGACAGCAGCTGCTCCTGGCCTTTAGGAGATGACCAAAGCAGAGGGGCCAGCTGGCTGTGGACAGGGAGAGAAACAGAAGCAGCCCCACATAAAGCCCATAAACTCATTGGTCCTTGCATTTAGGGGCAGCATTTATTATATTTCTGAAGTTAAATTTGTAAATTTAATGTTACTTTACCAATCAGATTTGAGAGTACGGTTGAAGAACTACGTGTTTCACATTTATCCGAGGTCATCCACGTTTTACCTGGTGAGTAAACCCACCTGCCTAAATCCAGTGGTTTAACTTTGGAGCTTATAGATGAAAGCTATGGCCACGCAAATTTAGGAATAGGTTCTTCAACATTTTTGTTGATTTCGGTATTTTCTTTAGTCCATCCTGATAAAATTGACCAACAGAACTAAGGGGGTACATCCCAGAAAGAAGCATGACGCTTTGGGAAAGCCAAAACACTTCCAAAGCAAAGAAACACTACACTCCAATGTAAAAATCGAACATTTTCTCCTTTTGATTTTATTCTGTGGAAACATTCCTTTCAAGATGAAGGGTAAGCTCACAGGCAAATAGCTCCTAAGTGGTGGGCGTCCACCGGCCCTGCACACCCAGCCAGACAGAACACGAGCAGAAGCCCTGGGTGGGGGTCAAGCAGCAAAGGTCAGAGGACAGTGGCCAGGGCTAACTGCCCAGAGGAGGGGTTAGGAGCTGCCAGCAGGGAGAGGCGGAGGGGGACTTCCATGGGCCCAGAGAGCAGGGCACACTCTGGAAGACTGGGAGGGTCTGTGTTTCTGGGTTTGTGGCAGGTGGGGCCCCTCTAATCCCACAGTCCTGGCCCACACCCCATTCCTAACAGAACAGAGGATGGTGCAGACTCTCACCCTCATCAAGAGGGAAGGGGACTAAGACTCAGCGGTGACAGCGTGATGCTGACGTTCAGGTGTTGAATACACCAACAAATGCGTCCACAGGACCTGCGGGATATCGGTAGAGACCCACACGCCTTATTAACAGTGAGAGGAAAAGAAAGAAGAAAGAACCAACAGAGTACTTACAGGGGCCAACTTCAGGTCCTGTAAGATATCATCAAAGTAATGGAACTCAGACAACTCCAGCTCCACCATGTCGTTCTTCAGCTCCAGGATGCGCCCCATGACCCCGTCCAGGATCTTCCGGATCAGCAGTCGCTTCTGTGGGTGCACTATCTGGTCGTAGACATTCTCCAGGTTCCTGAAGATCTGCACATACTTTATGTAGAAGGTGGCCAACATCTGGAAGATGTAGACAGGATTCTTCTCTTGCTCCACCAGCTTCTGAGACTCTTTATCAAGCAAAGAATTGAGGGCTTCTTGGGTCTGGTGCCACATTTTATTATACATTCTGTGGGAGGACACAGGGTTCAGACAGTTGAGCAGATGAGAATTATTTTGTCAGGGAAACATACTGCCATCTGGTCTAACAAAACAGAACGCACAATCAGGTGTGAGCTCGCAGTACATGGCGGCTGCAGGCTGTTTAGACAATATTAAGTCCTGTATGGATGTCCATGTGTTTTTTTAGATCTGACCACTGCTATTATTACAAATAAGAATTTTTAAAAGTCCTATCCTAAATGATATAGTTGTTCCTCACCATCATGTGAAGCCAGTATTATTATATTAATGCAAATGATAAAATGATTGAGGTCCAGAATGGTTCACTGTTTGTCCATATACATAGTTGATGGAGTATAAATTACAGCAACCATTTTGGAAAGTCATTCAACTTTGTTTTGTAAAGTTAAACATGTGCAGACTCTATGAATAATCATATTTGCAGAGAAATTTGTAAATGTGCATTGAGGATGTTTAGAGTAGTATTTTTAATGTTCTTTATTCGTGCACTAGTTACACATGATAGCGGGGATCATTTTGACATATTCATACATGCATGGAATCTATTTTGTGCTATTTCAATCCCCAATCCTGCCATTTCCCTCCTCTCCTCCCTCTCCTCTTCTCCTTCCTCTACTGGTCTTTCTTCTCTGTAGTTATTGCTTTATTAATCAGTGCTTTATAGGTATCCATAAAGGTACAATTCCCTGGGGTAGATTCACATATGTACATATCACAGCTGGGTCCATTCTTTCTGCAGACCCTCTTTTCCAGTCCCTCTTCCCTCCCCTTCTACCCCCTTCCTCTGCTCCACTCATCTCCCTTCTATTTTCATGGTATCCTCCCCTGATTTTGCTCCAGCTTCTCGTATGAGAGAAAACATTCAACCCTTATCTTTCTTGGCTTATCTCACTTCCTATGATGCCCTCCAGTTCTGTCCATTCACCAGCAAATGCCATAATCCCATTCTTCTTCGTGGCTGAGTAGAACTCCATTGTGTGTCCATACCACGTTTTCTTTATCCCTTAGTCTGTTGATGGGCATCTGGGCTGGTTCCATAACTTGGCCATTGTGACTTGTGCTGCTATAAACCTGATATGGCTGTGTCACTGTAGTATGCTGATTTTAGTTCTTTTGAATAACTACCCAGGAGTGGGACAGCTGAGTCACGTGGTGGTTCCATTCCTGATCTTTTGAGGAATCTCCATACTGCTTTCCACAGTGGTTGTACTAATTTATAATCCCACCAACGTGTATGAGTGTGCCTTCCCCCCACATCCTCACGGGCATTGTTATTGTGCGTATTCTTGATGACTGGCATTCTAACAGAAGATGAAAACTCAGTGTGATTTTGGTTTGCATTTCCCTGATTGTTAAGGATGTCAAACATATATTTTTCATATATGTGTTGGTCATTTGTATTCCTTCTTAAGAAATGTCTGTTCAGTTCTTTTGCACATTTATTGATAGGATTATGTGTTTGGGGTGTTAGGTTTTTCGAGTTCCTCACATCTTCTGGATACTAATCCTGTTGGGGGAATAGCTGGTGGAGATTTTCCCATTCTGCAGGCTCTCTCCTCATGCTCTTGTTCTCTCTGCTGTGCAGAAGCTTTTAAACTTGATGTCATCTCACTGACTGATTCTCGTTTTCATTTCCTTGGCTTTAGGGGTAATAATGTTAAGGAAGTCAGTGCCTGAGTCAAAATGCGGGAGTGTTGACCCTGTGTTTTCTTCCAGCAGTTGGTCTGATTCCCAGGTCTCTGATCCACCTTGAGTTGACTTCTGTAGTGATGAGAGATAGGGCTCTTGTCTCACTCTTCTACATGTGGATATCCAGTTTCCCCAGCACCGATTGTTTAACAGGCTATCTTTTGTACAACATGTTTTTGGAATCTTTGTTGAGTATTAGGAAACTATTTGTGTGGCTTAGTCTCTGTGTCTCCTATTCTATTCCCCTGGTCTCCTTGTTGGTTTCGGTGCTCGTTCCAATGCTGTTTTTATTACTAGACTCTGCAGTAGAATTTGAGATCAGGGATGGTGATGCCTTCAGCATGGCCTTTCTTGCTCAGTATTGCTTTGGCTACACTGGGTCTTTTATTCTTCCAAATAAATTTAGGACTTTTTAAAAATCTAATTCTATGAATTATATCATTGATATTTTGATGGGTATTGCACTGATCTCTATATGGCTTTTGATAACATGGCCATTTTGATAATTCTGCCTATCCACAAGCATAAGAAGTCTTTCCATCTTCTAAGGTCTTCTTTAATTTCTTTTTCCAGTGCTCTATGACTTTCATGATAGAGGTCTTTTACCTCCTTGGTTAGATTTATTTCCAAGTATTTCATTTTTTTGAGGTCACTGTGAACCGAACAGTTTTCCTGATTTCTTTCTCGGCAGATTCATTATTGGAATATAAGACAGTTATTGACTTTTGCATGTTGATTTTTGTATTCTGCTACTTTGATGAATTTATCAGCTCTAGAAGTCTTCTGGGGAGTTTTTGGGTCTCCTACATATAGAATCATGTCATCAGCAGACGTATAATTTGACTTCTTTCCCGATCTATTACCTTTAATTTCCTATTCTTGTCTGATTGCTCTGGCTAGAGTTTCAAGAACGATGTTGAATACAAGTGGTGTCACAGCATAAACAGAGATGACCCAATGCCCATCACCATGAATTGTGGCATGGTCACCAGTGGCTGTGTATGTCACACAGAAGTGGAAACTGGTGAGTGAATGAGAGCTCAAGGCAACATTCACAAGCGTGTGAAGCACAGTGGAGTGCAGCGAGGCCTGGGGCAGAGCCGCTGGCCTGCTCCCGCCAGGCCCTCTTGCCTCATGCTGGGGTTGAGAGGTGGGGGATGGTGAGGTGTGCACAGTCCCACTGCCTCCCTGGCAGGTAGCAGAGGGCCTCCCTCCTCCTGTTGCCACCTGCTGGTTTCCCTAGACTCTGTCCACGCCCTTGTCTGGCCACTTACCAGACCCACTCAAGGTGCTTGTTTGTCCTGTGGCACCCTGACCAATACAGTCATGGTAGAGATGAATGAGGGTCCGGTTTTGGGTGGGTTCTGGCTCTTTTATATTCAAGAACAAGACAAAGTTGGACTGGAGGTCCATGGGAAGGGACTTCCCCATGGGACCGGGTGACAGGCCTGTCACTGGTTTCCCTGGGATGAGGGGAATGGCTGTCTGTGAGGTGTTCCCGTGCTCAGTGGAGAGGGTGGCTCCTCCCCTGGCTGGGGAGTGGACCAAGAGGGCTGAGGATGCTCGTCCTCCTGCCTGTCTGTCTGGATGCTCTTCCATGCTGCCCTGCGCCTGGCCTCCAGACTCTCCACAGGTTAGCCACCAGCTCCCATTCAGGGTGGGACATTTCACTCCTTGCATAATCAGTGGTTAATAATTATGTTACTGGCCAACGGCAAAAACGGTCCTCAAAAGGACAGAAACAACAAAAGCAAACTCAGGGCAAGTGAATCACAGCCACTCCCCTATTCTCAGCCCCCTCAGAAGACCAGGGCTCCCCCCTTGCAGAGGAGCTGCTGGTTCCTGGCCCCAGGTGTGCCCAGGTCCACCTCCTCTTGACTCTCCCTTCCTGCCTGTCCCTCCCTGGCATCTCCTGGTACCTCTCCAGGCTCTCTACATTCCCCTTGACCCCTGAGCTCACAAACTTGTCAACCCTTTACTGACCCCGGAGGCAACAGTGCAGGTAGACACACCGTCCAGTCACCTGGTTCCCAGCCCTCAGTGGCTCAGTGCTGTGCCCTACCTCTGCTCCCTCTGCCCAGGCCCGCCACCTGCTGTCCTTCCAAAGCGCTCCAGACTTCCCTGCGAGTGAGAAATTTTGCAGGAATTGCTTATCGATCACGTTAGGTTTTTTCATCTTCTTGGCCAAAAGTTTAAAGTGCACCTTGATGTGAAAAGTGTTTCAAGGTTCAGGTGACAATGATGGTGACTTAAGTTTTTGTACTGTGAGCCTCTGTTCTGCGTGCTTTACATACAAGAACTCATGTCATTCTCACAATGTCCCTGTGAGGCAGGTAAATTATCACTCCTGCATGCAGATGAGGAAACAGAGGTACAGAGAAATTATTGCCCCAAATCATAAATCTGAACAGAGGATTTGTACCTTGGCAGTTGACTCCAGATCCTCCGCTCTGACCACCAAACTTTCCACTCTCAATTCATCAGGAAGAAAGCAAATGAGGGTGATCAGATATGGAGGACAGGTGTGGTGGCCACCACAGGAGAACAAAGATCAAGAGATTCAAAACAACAAAACTCTTTCCCCCTCCCATAGCACCCCACTCTCCCACCCTCCCCAGCACCCCACTGTTAGGATGCTGGATGCTTCCCCTGGTGCACCACCTCCAGTGTGTTCAAGCACAAGATTTCTCAAATCTCAGCAATGTTTAGAAGACGTTGATAGTGAAAGGGCATTCTGCCAGATGGCTTTATTATAAAAGGGACTGTTATTATGGGAAAGTTAGGATTTATTTAGGGTGGGACATTTCACTCCTTGCATAATCAGTGGTTAATAATTATGTTACTTACTGGCCAACGGCAAAAACGGTCCTCAAAAGGACAGTAACAACAAAGGCAAAGTAACACCAAAGACTTACAGCTGTCTAAGTCACCAGGATATGCTGGCCCTGTGCTTGCCACTCTCAAGAAGACAAGCAGACAGGAGAGGGCACGCACGAGGAGGCAAAGCCATCACCTCAAAGATGACAGCAGGCTTTGCACACAATGCACAGCAACTCATCCACCTGGGGGACTCAGAGTCCTGGGGGTGTGAGAAGTGGAGTACAGTCTTGGCTTGCCAATGCCCAGACTCGCAGAATCTGGAAGGGACAGCCACCTGCTTTGGTCACTGACCTGAGAGGGCACACAGGCCACATGCATTGAAGGACCCTGCACCGTAGCATAGAACCAAAAAAGTGCTCTGTTCATTTTCTGAACTAAACAGGGTTTGGGACAACACGAGGTAAAGCACAGGCTGATCTCATCTGGAACTCAGCTCTGAAGTCCCACTTAGCAAA